TGTAGGGGATGATTCTAAAATCAGATAATGCTGAAATTTGAGTTTTTTTAATATGAAAATTATATATATATATATATTTTTTATGATTATGTTAGGCTTTATGGTTAGAATTTAAAGGGTATTTGTGGGTTTTAGTAAGATTTATATTTTTTAGAGCTTTGATCCTATTTTTGATAGACAATTCAGATTGAATCCGCATCAGATTACAGATAAAGCTGGCTTTATAACACATCCTTAGGTTTGTTATTCAAGTTCTTTGGCCAGAAATCTCTGATCTGGATATTTGAATCTATCTGAGTTTAAAGATCAATTTGGATAGTCAGATTAAGAATCGAAGCTCTAATATTTTTAAACAGATGTCTAAAATTTAGTATCATTTGAGTTCTGCATCATCTTTGACAATATCAAAATAAAAATTTTACTCTTGTTCTTGATTTTTTTCAAATTGTAAAAGCAGATAACAACAATAGAGATTTTTATATTTCGATTTGAAGCATTTTATTATACTAGCATCCATCAGTTGGAGATGTGCGATCATATTAGATAGAAGAAAATGTATAGTGATATTCGTAAGATAAGAATAATCTGGAATCTTTTTTTCTTTTTTTGAGATTCTTTATAGAACCTTCCTTGGGACCTTCCTTGTGATCTTCCTTTAGGCTTTCTTCGGGACCTTCCTTGGGGCCTTTCTCAGGGTCTTCTTTGAGGCTTTCCTCAGGACCTTTTTTGCGACCTTTCTCTAGGTCTTCCTTGGGACCTTCCTCAGGACCTTTCTTGCGACCTTCCTCTAGGCCTTCCTCAGGACCTTCCTTGCGACCTTTCCTGAGATCTTTCTTGCAATTGTTCTTCGAGCTCTTAGGATCTTTAGGATCTTCGGGTTCTTCGGGTTTGGGTTCTTCGGATTCAGGTTCGGGTTCTTCAGACTCTTCGGGTTCTTCAGGCTCTTTGGGTTTTTCAGGTTCTTCAGGTTCTTTAGTGTCATTTGTATGATTTTCTTTCAATGATATATGAGAAGATGCATTATCGACCAGGAGTAAAACCTTTCTATCTTGAATATGAAAACCAGCATCGATAAATTTCAACCAACTTTTCCAAATATCAC